TCGCATTAAATCCGTCTTTTACGTCACTGACACAAGACAGACGCCAATTATCAGCGCCCGAGAAGACATTGCGAACGCTTCCTGGCCATCCAGTGTAGATGTCAGTGAAACTGTTGGGAAGACAACGTTGGAGGAATGTGAACATTTTATTTGTACTGTATAATCTGCAGATTGTGACAGAAATCTGTAACTATCCTTTGAAGCACCGCTCCTCTAAAACAGCAATAAGGATCATTATTAGGCCATATGCAAAGAACAAAATAACTTTATAACTTAAAGCAAAATTGGGAAACGTGAAGTCTGAAACAAGTCTTTATATTAAGGGCCATCAGTCAAACAATAGTGTTTGGTCTGGATCTAAACAGAGCGCGTTGTGTGTGACGTCTTCTTTTGCGCATGCAGACCGCTTTGAGGGTTCACACTAGAGTGTGTTTGCTGTCACATTTTATTTGTAGAGTGAACAAAAAAAATCAGATTTTGATCAATATTAAATATTCAATTATTCTGAACTGTGAATCATTCATTTTTCAGGCCAAACAGTCTATGCACGTGTTCGCTTGGTGCATGCTAGCAGAGGCACTGGAACCAACGGGGAATTTCTTTTTAAAAAAAGTACCTGAGTGTGTTTCTGTGTTTACATGTAAGCAGAAGCTTTTATCTGTGTCAAGATGTTGTTGCAGGCAATAGCAGGGGAGCTTGTCTCGGAGTACAATCATGAGAAATCTTTGTTCCTCGTCTGTTTGTCAGCGTTCTTATATCCGTGAGGCATTGTTAGCTCGCTCCGCTCTAAAGCGGGACGGGGAAGAAACACGGACATCACAGAGAGGCCAAAGGGCACGTCCTGTGAACAGAGCAAACACCGTCTTGTGGAAGGGGTTTCGACGGTGGGGGTGGGGTTCAGCTCAGAAGTTCTTTTTACCTCATCTCTGGAAGGAAATATCAAGATCCTCCACCTGTGATCGTTCAATCGACAGCGTATGAAGTGATACACCTGGCTTATTCTGATTTCACATCACTTCTTCGTTTCGGGGAGTCACGAAAGACTTGCTCAACTCCATGAAAGCCGAACCGAGGAGGGGGTCGAAGGCGAACGCATACAGCAGACAAAGCGGGAGAAGACCAGAAAGCAACAGTGTTGGTTTGTTGTTTCCAGCTCCCCTAGCACTTAGACTTTCCCTCAGGCACAGTCTCTCACTGAAATATTAATCGTGTTTGACAGCTGTTTTAGCTCCGAAAACAAACACAAGACCGAAGCTTGTTTTTTTTGGAAAGCGCAGAGACATATGCACGAGCGTGGACTGGCTCAGATAAGGAACAACTGTTGTGGACAAAAGAAGGAGCAGGCTCAAGACAGCACAATGTGGAAGCAGCCTCATTAGGAATGTGCTGTTGTTTACAAGTGTGAAATTATGACAAGCTGTACTGTCTCTCAGCTGTCATGTCCTTGGGGGGAGCATTGTAATGCAATAAGCGGAGGAGTCGAGCGTTTATGTTCGTGTATCAGCGGGTCGGAGTCGAGCCTCGTGCCTGGCTACTCTTCCAGATAACTCTCCTCTACCTTAACACCTTAACAACATCCCTGCAACCCCAACGCACTTAACAAGGTGGTACAACGATGAGAGGCTTTCTCGCTCTCTCTCACACACACACACATACACAAACACGGCTCTGGCGTGGTAGAGGCAATTTGCAGCATTAAGCTGCCTGATAGCACATGTCCACTGAGAGTTAGGGAGTGATTTAACGGACATTGCTCACACCAATTAGAGTGAATCAGCCAGGCAACGCTACTGACGACAAGTGGATGCCGGCGCTGTCAACACACAGCCACACACACACGTACGCTCCCACACACTGCGGAAAGGGGGGTGTTTCAATGTTTCTTTTGTGATTAAGAGCATGAAAATAGCCCATTTAGATAATCCCTCCCTGTCAGCACTGTCAGCCTGAGAGACACATCCCATGCACTCATTCCCTCATTACCATACGCCAGTCATTTTAAGAGGACCGAGCACAAAGCCGGAAGACTCAGCCGAAGGGGAAATGCTTCTCTTGCGGTAGTGTCCGACCGCCGTTCCCGTTCTCGTCGCCTGCCAAGCCTCGGAGCGACACCAGTCAGTATGGAAGGCCACAAACGGGAGAGCTGCGGTGGGCCGGGCGAGACAGAAAGGAGACGGTACACAAAAGGGGTTTCTATTTGCACGCCGACTGGAGGAGTCATACCCTGAGGAGCACCTGATTCATTTCTTCTAGAGGGCTATTAATCTTTTCAAGCACCAGAATCGCTTTGCCTCTCAGGAGCAGGAGTGGAGATTGAGTTTTCTATTACAATCAACCAGAGGCAGTGTGTCACGGGGAGAGGGGGGCCAGTGACAACACTGTCCTTGGCGCTGCCTTTCCCACATAAAACAAAAAGCAGGGAAGGAATCCCTACCACATTAGTGAGATTATTTTTATATCTGTATTCACAGTAAGGCCAAGCAGGGTCACTGATGACCAGCTGCTCTAGAGCTTCTTTATATAAAATGCCACATGGTTAGTTTAATCTTCACAGATTAAACTGCAAATTAATTCACGTGTTAGCTCTAGTCTTCTACAGAGGGCACCTAGGGTTCTCACACTTACTGTTAGCCTTTGCGTCACTTTTCATGAAATGTCAAGGCATGATGTCAATGTGAGCAGGAACTAAGGTACACGATGGTGCATTTAAGTTCCACATATATCGGAGTTAAGCTCCAAACCTACCTTTGCGACTTCATCCTTAAGGGGTATTCTGGAGAAGAACTTTCAATTTCCTTTCTTGCTCTTGGAAAGATCAGTCCAACATCATATCTGCCCACTAAATATAACGCTACCCCAAATATAACGCCAGGAGATGGTTAAGCATAAAGACTAGAAGCAGGGAGAACAACTACTAAGCTGATGAGTGTGTCAAAAAGGCAGGCATGTTTTTAAGTTAAAGTTAAGACAGGCACTTGATTACTGGGAAGAAAGTCCATGAGCTTGGGAACAGGAGATCAGATGGAGGTTTTGGGAAGCTCCATCTGTACCTGCCCCTGCTGAAGGCTGCAGCAAGAAGACACTGATATTTGCCCCTGCTACATGAGTTTTGCAATCAGAAAATACTTCCTAGTCTAGGCCTGACCCCTGACACCTCCAGCTAAGTGAATCCAGGCAGCCGGCTCCAGAAGATGATGGATTTAACACCAGAGTGTTGTTATTCCCAAGTTCCAACACCTGAGGTATCTGGAACGTGATGTTATCTGCCATCCGTCTTAGACTACGTGAAGGACGAGTCATTCCCAATGATTGCACAGGAAGGGTGTACTCAAGTAAGACATTCAATCTTTTCATTGATGGCTCAATGAACGCAATCACTGGATGGGAAGCACTGGACAGGTCAGTGTGACCCTCTAAAGCTCAGAAACAGAGTGAATAAACAGAAATAGCAACCTCTTCCTTCAAGACTACATCTGTGCGTTAGAATCAGCTCCCACTCCCATTTACTGCTCATGTTCATGTTGGGATAATAATTTAAAGCCTAGCAGGTCTGGACTGTGAACAGATGATTTTTTTTTTTACTTAAAAAGATAAGTCGAGTGATAAGGGCATGAGAAATGGTGCTTGTGCAAGATCCTCTTACTTAAACTTATACTACTAGCTTTAATAGAGTTACCTTCACTATTAGTCATCGGATGTTACTAATTGGCTCTACACAGACCATCCTAATTAGTCTTGCAGGTTTTTTTAGAGCCCTGCAAGTCAAAGGGCCACACTTACTACACTGGTAAGTGGCTGATTCATCAAATTCAAGTCAAAATAAAGCACACGTGTCACATTAATTATTGCCTTGTTTAATTAATCAGATCCGTTCACTTAACCGCGGCCTAGCCTCTTGAAAAATGTCTGTCGGCCGAGAGTATTAATTGCAAAAAGAACCAACTGAAGTTGCGAGCTCAGCCGCAGGTCTCTCAGTCAGGCTCCAGAACGGCGGCACTAATGGAGGAATACGGAGGCCACTTTAAGATGAAAAATGGCAACAGAGCCCCGTGTCACTTAATCAATATGAAAAAGCCAGTGGGGAGAAGGAAACCACCGCCTGCAGGGGCCACGCGGTCCCAGGTCTCATGTCCCCAGAATGATATGGGGTGTTTAAAATGGGCCCAATTTCACACCGTAACTCATCTCAGTCGCAGTGATGATGGCGCTCGTCCCCAAGGGGGTGGTTGCGAGGGAGGCGATGCCGTCTTGGGAGGTGCTTAACAACAGCATCCATCTCTGTAACATAATACTACAGACAGCTCCAACCAAAGGAGCCACCAGCACCGGTGGCTCTAGAGTTGCCTCCAATCACACTGGATGAGATTCCTCATGAAATCGCCTCGGGCAACGCTGCAGCTGTGCCACATCAGTCACTCTGCTCAGTTATAATCCGAAAGGATCACAAAGCCTGATGAATTCTGCTAACGTGGGTCATTCCTGCATTTTTTCTTCTGCAATTAAACTAATCAAGTCCCACTCGAGGGAAATTTATTTCCACACAAAGAGCGCTAAAGCAGAGAGGACACCGCATGCGGACATCTTCAGGGCTAAGAGTCCGGAGCGTCAGTTAGTCTCCGCTGGCCCTCTGCCCCTCTATCTTGCAGCTCCCTCTGGCCCCAGGGTGCTGTTATCTCTCAAACAAACAGCTCCTGTGCCGCAGCCCCGCTCGCAGACCTCATCTATCTGCATGACATGTGCTTCCCTGTTTGTTTTGTCTCGCCTGTTAGACGCGGCCGATGATATTGAGCTGTGTCGACGGCACTCTTCCGTTCACACCAGATGAATCAATCACTCCGGCGTGCTCCGCTGCCCTGTTTAGTGCAGGCAGAGTCTTTTCCACTTCAATCAATGCCGAGGGTTTAGGAAGAGGTTAGCGCTTTTCCTGCTATTTGTTAGGAAAAGAAAAGATCTCAAAAAGCAGCTCTGGCTGACTGACACACACACACACACAAAGTTTGTCAGTTTCCTGCAGTGTTTTGTTTATTCAAGCCCGACAGGAATATGCAGATTGACTGTGTAAATATGTAAATATACATGGTTAATAGAGACCACTGTTAGCAGATGTCAGCGCACTGAATTGAGCTCGCAGACGCTGTTAAATTCCATGAATAATTAAAAAGAAGCAGAAATTATTCATATAAAAATCACACACTATGTTCAGAGAGCACGAATGTATTTGTATAGCAAGTGTGCCGCTTGGATAGTAGACAGATAACAGGCCAAAAACAAAAAAACAAACAAAATAAAAAGTAGGTTCGGCTGCCTGCAACTATCCTAATAAAACAAGATTATTTTGCACGTTTGCAGCGTTAAAGAAGAATTGAGACTTTGCAGTTTTATCATTAACAAAAAACAAACACTGTACAAAAATATTCCTTTAAGAGGGTTAAGACCCTAAAATTACACGACAAAAACAACACGCAGTAATTTCAAAAACAGAAAAGAAATCCTTAAAAGCAAAAACACTTCCTGAAATCATCTGACAAGGAGTTTAAAATGAAATCCTGGAACTTTCAAATTCCTTTCCATCAGCTGATAGAGTCCCCTTCAAGATCATCGGGATCTTGCTGTGTTTGGACAATGAGCAGAGGGTTTCTACAAGGACTCGGCTCTAACAAAGTCCCGCCGCTGCTCCTCCCAGACGTGCCTTCAGTCTCTGTCGCAGCGCTGCTCGGCTGTCTCGCTCCTTTGTGGCTGGAGTCTGGAGAGATTCTCAGCTCCTCCGTCACCCGTTCTCCCAGCACCTGAATCAGCTGTCTGAAGCCTTCTGAGGCTGAGGGAAGGGCATCCTCTCTCCTTTTTTCTGCTGAAAAGCTCGTGGGTGCCTGGGGGGTGGGAGAGACGGAGGCGGAGGGTTGGGGTTCTGGAGGGTTGTCCTTGAACATCTCTCCTCCTCCTCCCTCCTTGGATTCGGTGCAGTCTTCTTCAGCCTCAGATTCCTCGCTCTCACTAGACGACTCGCTGCTGCTGTCACTGGAAGTGCTGCTGCTGTCAGAAGAGCTGCTGCTGTCATCGCTGGATACGGGAGCCCTCTTGGAAGCTTGCTGCTCCTCTTCGACCGCCACGATCCTCGCAGCGTCCTCTAACTCGTCGATTTCCAGCTCCAAGTCGGTTTTTTGCAGGGTTGCTTTTTCCAACGTTGCTGCCAAGTCTGCCACCTTCTTGGACCTGTGAAGATGAGGAAAAAAAGTAATTAGGAAGGCAGAAAGTTTCAACTCAATACGACACTTACACACAGGGAAGGGAACGGAAAAAAGAGAGAGATCCAACTACCACTTCATCAGTGGTACCTGGGAGAGAGAGCGGCATGACAACTGACTGATCGACTGGCTCTGCGTACTAAAGACATAGCCACAGGATAACCATCTACAAATCTAATACCCATTAACCAAAGCCCATTCTCATATGAATGCTAAGTAGACCGCGATTTGCAGAGGCGACGGGGGCTCAATGAAATATGGAAATATGGATGTTTAATAATGTAGGAAGATGAGCGCTGCTGATACACGAGCCTTGGGATCTTCTCCTCCCTCCCCCAACTGCTGCGCTCTCTGCAAGAGGTGATAAGAGACCGAGAGGGATTACAGAGGGAGGCAGACCCCTCCTATTCCTCCTTCTCTACCTCAGTCCGTGCATGCAAAAAAATCACATGCACACTTCCACCTATAAATATGAAATGGTTAAGTCAACCGCTGCGTATGGCACGATTAGTCGAGATGAGGTCAATATATCCTGAGTGTTTCGATGCTGGAGAGGAAAAGGAAAAAACAACAACAAAAACCCCCCCGAAACATCCAATAATAATGCTGCAGCTGGAACAAACCAGAATAAACACGAGCGCTTTGTGCATTGTGCGGAAGCAAATCAGCCCTAAGAGGCTAAAGACGGTGGAGTTGTGCTCCCAGTCACGCTGCAATACAGTCAATAAAAGCGTGGATAGAGAGAGCGCGCAGGCTGAGGCCCAAACAGCTAAATGTCGCCAAAGATTAAGATGAAGAGAATGCCCTCATAAAGCAGTACATTTAACAGAGTTCCCATCCCGCCGCTTTAGTTTTATAGTTGCGACTGCTTGAAGAAAGACGCGTTTTTATTGCTGATGAATGTCCTCCTACAAGGCCCCGTTTGTGTAAAGGCATACGATTGTGTGGAGGCCCCAGCCTGCACATTATTCACGCTGGGAAAGCATGCCATGCTGCCAAAAACTTAAGTGGTTGCCATTGGGCTCCCCGGTGCAGTTAGGGCGTGTGTGCCCCCATCCCCTGTCCCTCCTCTCATTGCCATGGTGATTACGAGCTGACCTCTGCGGGTTACTGCGATTCAGACTATGTCCATTCAGGGTGGGAGAAACCATGTGTGTGTATGTTTAGAGGGGCTACTCTTTTTCTCACACACGGCTGCTGTTGCTCTCTCTGGCCCAATTAACCCACTGCTGAGCACCAGGATGGCTCCTCATTACCGTGCACTCCTAATGAGCTCCCCATTCTGGTGAGTAAAGTGTTTATGGAAGCATGTAGGGGCTTTGCATTCATTTAGGACCTCAGGAGGAACTATGTTAACAGATCTCATAGTTGTGCTGTAGCATGAGGACACCCGTTCTCGGCACCACGACAGCCAGAAGAGAATCAACTGCAGATTGGTGGGATAAGTGATCCACTTGTTCTCAGCTGCACCTTCCCAGTCCACACTTAGGTAACGTTTAAACTGATTGTTTAAAAACAGAAGTTGTTCTAATTTCAATGGAGTGAAAATCATGGTGGACAGACTCTGAGGGCTGTGATCATTGGTGGATTTCTTGCAGAAGCCCATCCCAGAGTCATTAATGTCAGTGGCTCCAACTTTGAGCCCAGCAATTATGCCCAGCTGGTGCCAGCATGTTGGCAAATGTCAAAGTTCAGGAACATTCGAGTGGGGTTTTCGCCAGGTGACAGTCTGGTTGAACATTTCAGCTCGTCTCACGGTCATCTCTGCAATACCTCGCAAAAATCAGTTTGCCAACGTATGCTGAGAGACTCTTCTCATAAACAGAACTTGGCTGCTTAAGAATAGAAGTGGTGTTGGCAATAAGTGTCATTTCAGATCCACAAATCACAAATAAACACAGCCACACCACCCCACATCTCTGTGAGAAGGCACCACATTGCCAGATGTGTCTCAGCTCCACCCACCAGACAGACACACGGACCCACAGCTCTGCCACAGAGAGCAGAGAGACAAGACGGCAGATGTAATGCCATTGTTTTGTTTTTGTGTAGTCTCAACTCGCCTCATCTTCACAGCACCGAGGAGCCGCAGGCAAACTATCAGAAGGGTCTTTTTAGTTCATTAATAAAAGTCCCTGGAATTTCAAGATCCAGGTGCAATTAAAAAAAAAAATCGCTTAAGGAAACCATGGATGACCACCTGTCGTCTTGGAGTTAGCATGTGTAGTTGGAGTTTACAGACATCCACACACAGCCTCGCGTTCACCCTCCGATGATGATGAAATCCGTCACTCAGACCTAAAACACTTGTGGATGCGGATATTGCAACTCGAGCGCAAGACAGCTGCGTGATGATCTTCACTGTCAAGAAAGCTGCATGAAAAGAAAACCCCAGCTAGGAAGTGATCCTACTAAACAAATGTCACCTGTAACATATTAAATGCTTCAGTACCCATTTTAACAAACTTTCAAGGCTGATTGGGTCTAACTCACTAAAGCTGCCATCTACAGACACAGACACGTAGAAAAGTGACGAGCTAGGAGCCAACATGCCAAACTTTAACTGTATTCTTCTGCTGTAACTAATAAATTACTTCAAATGTGAAGCGTCTGACTGAAGTCTGGTTAATGCAATTGAAGATGATTTTCCAGTTTGGGCAGTAGCACATAAACGCACCACACGAGAAGAGCTTCTAAATACATGCAAGCGTTTAGAAAATTGAAAAAAAATCAAGACGAGCACCAGAAACTGTTTGTTGTGGGCACTGCTCACTCTAAGTATACGCTGTCTGAAGCTGTCACTTATGTGTGAACACAGACAACCACTGCATTCTTTGGAAAGCCGAGTTTAAAAGTCACTGTTTTTGTTTTAAACAATCACAAATAACTTAATGTAACCTCATATAATTATGATGATGATGATGATGATGATGATGATGATGGAGCCTGTTCAGGGTCCCAGGTTCTGCAAAACCCACGTGAGCGCTTCCTGTAGTGAGACTGTGGCAGAGAAGCCTCCTGCAGCACAGCCACTTCAAAGACTGCCCTGTATTCTCTTTCCCCCGTGGGAAGTCATTATTGCGTTAGCGTTGGAGAGGCGCGCTTGTTTTCTCTCCCCTCCCTTGCTCTGTGGTGGGAGAAGCTCGGCCTGCAGTGAACACAAAGGCCCTGTCCAGGAGGGGGGAGGGATAATGTTGTACACAATCCAGTCATTACTATACTGCTGTTGTGGCTTGCCTTCATTAAACTGAGGAGGGGCGCCTTTTTTCAAGGTTGGAAAACTTCTGGCGAGACAAAGACGCCTCCATCTGCCAAAGTCTTTAGATGAGAACGTGAAGGGAGAGAGAGTGTGTGTGTGTCTGTGCGTTGTCTGTGAAAGAGCCGAGCTAAATTACAATCTGACATTTCTTTCATCAGGCTTGTGTTCAGTGAAAGAGCAGCTCATTCAGCGTGTCTGTGCTCTTGAAAACATCTCAGATAAAGCTTGTCCTCAGACGCAGAAATCTGTGTACGGTAATATAAGCACCAGATTTCCTCAGAGTAACTCGCAAACGCATCATTCACCGGCTGAAGGGGGGGATAAAAGCCGATGCTGGGAGACGCGATCCGTGTGACTGAATGCTGAAACGGTCCGAGGCGCTGTAGCCTCTCCCGTTCCAGAAACGAGAAACACAGATGTATTTATCCGGGGAACCAGTGTTTGAGACCCCAATTACAGCTGCCTGAGGACCCTTGAAACACTGGTAGATGGTTCACACAATTGAGACAGGTGTGGAGGAACTTTTTCTAATTTTTATTTTTGCCTTTTTCTTTCTCTTTGGTCATATAATGGCTTAAAATGCTTATGAAGACAACATATTTACTGCAAGGATGTGAGAAGAGCAGAGCAACAGATGCTGACATCATAAAAAGGTTCCACCGAATTGTATCAACTGGGAACAGAAAATTTCAACCCTAAACACTGGTTGCAACTGCCTGGTAACTATTCCACTGCATTTCATGGCTGGTTGGCGAGTGGTTGCTTGCTTGTGGTTGCTATGTCAAATTGCTTGCAAACAGGTATAAGTTGCTGCCCTGAAAACCCTTTTGTGATTGCCACAGTTGCCCATAGTTGGTAGGAAAGTCACCAACGTTTCTGCAAAAACCAGAAAAAGAGACTGTTTGCCTTCAAAGTAAAAGTTGCACCTTCTGAAACATGTTGGTGTCAGTGGTAAGACAGAACTTTGACTTGCGGTCTCCGTTTCTGGTTTGTGTCTTTCAGATGTTACTCATCAAGAGTCATGCTGGCATCTTCCATGCAAATTACAGCCAACTGTAGCAATCTGCTAACAACTAAAGCAATCACAAGGAGGACAATAGGAATGCTTGCCAGGAATGTGAAAGTATTGATGGTTGGTGTCACAGAGGAGGCAATTTCACCAAGTGTGAGTCAGCAACCACTCAACAGCTGGTCAGGGTATACGCATTTTTCCTCTAACCGACCGTGGTTGCGAGGGTTGGTCTCCATGTCACAGTCTGAGACCAAACATCAGTCGATTAGTGGGAGAGCCCCCAGCGTCCGAGCCCGAAGGTGGTGCATCACATCCCTCAGGTCACGAGTGTGATCAGAAGCATGCTTGTAGTTTCTTTTCCAACATCAATGAAGATTCTGTGCAAATAATCCATTTACATCATGTTCCCAAAACTGAAATTCATATTGGAAAATCATTGGTTTGACACATTCGTGATAGGTGGGAAAGATTCTATCCTGTTCTAAATCCAGCTGGAAAATTATTTCCTGTTCTGACCACTTGGTCAAGAGCACAGGAAGGGATTTAAAAAAAACGAAAAAACAAAAAACGCAGGATCGTTGGGAGTGGTGTAGTACTGCACAAAGACTCCATGTTGAAAGGGAGATCAGCCAATGATGAAACTATTTTGTGAAGGTTTTGGGGGTTGTCATTAGGGATGGCAATCGAGAACCAGTTCCCAGTAGTTGAATTCCTTGGAGTTGTTGGCCTGCTAACCTATCAATCCAGCTTATTGGCTCCACTTGTACTACTATCAGCTGATTTCATCTGATATGGACATTACATCTATTTTTATTCCACAAGAAGATGACAGCACAATGGTAAAGTAGAAACTGCATCCAGGAACAGGATGCAGAAACAATACACTACTAAAGAAACTTCAGCTCTTTGCAAGCACCTGGATGGACAGCGTGCTAACGCTAAGCTAGCCAAGACCCAAGAGTGACATCAAAGTGGACTGAATGCTGACCAAATCCAGCAGCCAGAGCCTGAACTTCAACAGGTAACAAACTGAGTAACAGTCAGGCTGCAGCCTCCATTTCTGCCTGTTCATGTTTCTAAAGTCGAAATCGCCCTGACGATCACTTTAAATAGTCTTTGTGCTGGTTTGCATCTTTGCTTGTACTGTTGGCTTTGTGTCCAGGATACTAAAGGAAAGATCGTGTGTCCTCACTTGGGTAGGGATTTGTGTTGGTGTGTCGGACTGTAGCCTCATGTTAAATGGTGTTAAATATTACTTTTTTTGAGTAATGACACCAAAACTGATCACAACAAAAAGGTTAAATAGCATCAACATGCACAAACATTAGACCGCACAGGATGTAATTAATTTGTCTGTGATCTACTGCTTAGAGATGGTGGTGACTCTTAAAGCGGAACCAGTTAGAATCCATAAGGATTCTCACTGGGTTGTCATGTTCCCAAATCTCAAGAATTAATCTATCACAAGATGCAGATTTAGAAAAAGCATTCTCTTACTCTTTCTTAGTCCTTTGTGGATTTGGTGGCAGATAAAAAGAAGCGTCTCAAGTGACAAGTTTCTATTCCTACATCATCACTTAGGTTTAAAAGGAGGATTTTTTTTAAAAAGCTCCAAGTATTGCAGGCTTTAGTTTGGTCTGAGCTCAAAGAAGTTAAAGACCTCAGGATTGACTTTGAAACTTTTTGTCAGAATGTTCCAGTTGGATTTACTCTCTACTTTTGGGATTATGGGATCTTTACTACAAATGCTCAGCTCTTTACTTTTTCTCTGCTTTTACTGTCTCCTCACTTACCATCTGACTTGTGTAATCACAAAAAACGTTCAAGTCCTCTACTTCTCCAGCCTGTCTGCTTCATATCCCACTGCTAACATCTCTTTCTAGTATCTCACAATGTGACACAATTCAGTGTTAGACATCCTTTTCTGATACGCCTGTAGAAAAAAAAAATACAATAATCAATTGAATTAACTGGAGTGAACACTCCACACGAGGGTTTAGGAAATTATGCAAACACAGTACTCTGTGTTTATGATGAGCTGTGTGTTCCAAGACAAAAATCTGGAGTGGACTCCTGCTGAGAGGAAATCTGTACTACTTATCCCTGTTAGCTGGGAGACATTGGTGTCTTTGTTCTGCCCGGTGGGGCCTCTAAGGATCTCGTTCAGTGATGCGGCTAACGGCAGATAGAGCAGCTCCATTATCTGTTTCAAAGCTTTCAGGACAGCTGTTTGACAGTTGTGTGGTGCTGTCTGCTGGAAGTCCCTTCCCAACAAACATTTGGGTGTCAGATCAGCTGGGAGATTGACACGTGAGCTGTGTTAATGTGAACAGAAAAGCTTTGAGCACAAGTGAAACAAAAACATCTGTAAGGGCCAAAGGCTGAAGGGGAAACCTGGGTAGTATTTGACTTGTGTGTTACAATAACACAGAGTTACGCTGAGGTAAAAACCACCAGTCGTCCTAGGCAGCGTGGGGAGAAAGTGTTGACACTGAGCACAAGGGCACTTTCAAGGTGTTTGACCCACACGCCTCAGCTGACACACTGACCCCACGCTTGACCTCCTTGCCCTGAGACACTTGCAGTTGTTAGAGCTCCAGAAACTCCCCCACCCCACCCGCGGGGGAGCTTTTGTCAGAGCTGCTGACAAATCTCCCCGACGGCTGCCGCCGAGGACACAACGCTGAGGTTGAACAAGGTGAGGGAGGCAGGGCGAGGGAGGCATTGCGAGCGCGTAGAGCCAGCGAGGGGCTGCTCCGCTGTCTAAAAACAAAAGACTGGTCTGAGGAAGGAGAATGCCTACAACTTTATTTTTCGACAGTTGCCCGTTGTTGCTTTTCATGCTTTTCTGTGATGCACTCTCTTTTCTACAGTTGAAAACAACACCCATTGTGTCTCTGAGGACTGCTCACTTCACACCTACCATTCACAATTATTTGAGTCTGTCCATTCAGCTGCTGTGGTGCGAGGCTCGGCCCATCCTTAAGCCGCTTCTTGTCAATTTTCCAGTTTTTGCAGCAATGTGTCAATGTCCATTTCACACATCTCAGAGGCAATTCACACATTTGCTCCACAAAAGAAAAAGACTAAATTTTCTTGCTAATCACTTCATCCTCTCCTCAGACTAACCCTGAAGCGCTTGTATTCTGTATTCTCCGCGTTTTTCTTTTTTTTTGTCCTGCTATAGACTATAATTGACCCAATTAATAAGGGTGGGTGGGTGGCTGCGAGAGAAACCTGTGTGGTAAAAGGAAGCTGCGGCCCTTCTGATTCTCTGAGGTACTGTAACACAACAACAGGCTTATAAAGCTTCGTGTGCGCTGGCTGCCGTGGATCTGTGTTGGCCTGTCTCCAAGCTTTTTGATAAAGGCAGGCAAAACAAAGAGAAAGAAAGTGAGGCGACTCGCTTATTTCCCCCCTCTTTTTTTTCCTGTGCAGTCCAGCAACTCTGCGGGGGTTTTGGCAGCTGAAGACCTTCAAAAGCATACAGTGAAACTAATGGACTGGAGAGGCTGCTGCTCCATTTGAAATAATACTGTCTGCTAACAATTCAGAGATAATTAGGATTGGACGGATGTGTGAGGGCGGATTAAAAACCATACCCAACAAAAGGATGTTTGTGTGTGTTTGTGTGAAATGGTGACCGCTCCAGTGAGGGGAAAAAAAATATAGCCCAAAACAAAACAAAAAAAGTTCCTCATTAATGAAACAACGGGAAGCGCAATTTGCTTTGAGGTTGCACGCTTGATCTCAGCGCAAAGGGGTTCTGCTCCGAGTGTCTGAGAGCGTAGAGGAGAGCGCCTGCCCCGTGGCTTAAATCATGATGAAGTCTTTACGAGGTTGTAAATCTGAGACCGATGTCTCAGCAGTCAGATGAACTTTAGGAGTAGAAACGCATGTGGGACACAGTGAGGAGATTAAATAAATCAACCACCCCCCCTGCAGCCAGCAAACATCCATTAATCGCCGTGTCCATCACGTATAGCTGATCGCATATGCCCCGGCAGCAGCAGCGGAGAGGGAGCGACAGGATACGGGGATTGCACCGGGGGGAAGGGGGGTATATAGATTGCATCTCATCTAACCGCCTGGGCTCCCAGAGACGACTCACTTAGCGGAGGATGACAAATCCTGCGCGGGGGAATATCTCGCACTGTGGGAAAACAATGCCTACACGATCTGTCATCAAACCTGTCAGATGATACAAAGGGGGCCGCCACAACAAACCGCATGTATGATAGAGGAGGTTGGTCTGTGGAAATCACCGCTGCCGCCTCGCTCTCCTGCGCTGCTGCTTTGCATTCTGACTGCAGGCTCCTTTTAATATTACACTGCAAACATGGGAACATAGTTTCATAAACCGCGAGAGAAGACTGTATGAGGTTTCTATTGAGTGTGAGCCAGCGCGCTCATACATAAAGAACGACAACAACAAAAATCTGTTCACGCTTGGTTGCTCTCTCAAGTGGCAGGAGGTGATAGAAGTGCTTCTACTGTCTTTTTCACATCATGACAAAAAAAATAAATACTGTACACTTTTATTTAGACAAGAGAAATGTAATGATTCAATCACAGGTCAGTGCTAAGAGATCACGGGGCCAATCCGTTTAATGATCGATGAAGGGTGCAGTGGCAGCCAGCACGTTTGGCCAAGCTGACATTTAGTTCCAAAGTAGAGCAGGGAGGGAAGGGAGGAGGAGCAGTGCTCCGGTGTGCCTCGGAAGAGACTGATCGACTTTCTCTGTGAGTTGACAAGAGCTTCAGAAGCTCCGTGCACTTACAGACTAAGATCGAGTGCGCGTCTTCTCTCTGCTCTGTGTCTCAAACAGCCCTGAACCCGACTCCTTATTCCTCCCACCCTTTACGAACGCAGCATCCGCTGCATTTTCTATTTCTTTAAAAGAGCAGCATTCAAGACTTGTGCTGGAAAAATGCAGAAATGAGAATGCGAGGAAGGGAGGTAGAGACCGCTAAATCCCTGCAGACCTTTTATCGTGTCTGCATCTGGGCACTGAGCCTACAACATCAGGCGCGCATTTTTCAACTGGGCTTTTTCCAGACGAGCACACCACTTTGCTGAACCTTGGCCAGGAGTAAAACTGAGCTCATTACTCTGTAATGTGCTCGCAGGCTCGCATTTAAAATGTGACTAATTGTTAAATATGAACTAGGCGGGGGGAGGGGAGGCGGAGGAGAGAGCCATCAGACCTGTGGCATTTGGGAAGAAAGTGCAGATCTGGCATCTTTGGGCTTGCAGTTCTAGGAAAAGGTCGCATCCGCCATAGATTGGAGAAGCCCACGCAGACGCGCATGAGCTCCTAAAGGTTTCGTACAGAGTGAATCCGCTGAGTGCAGCTGGCTCTTTTAACACCCACTGATGGTACTTTGACCACATAAACTGCATCTTTCGCAGGCTTGGTCGTGCAATTGGCCCTGCTGTGACAAAATGACACTGAAGCATCGCGGGAGGGGGCAGTCTGAATGGCACAGTGCATGGCTCTGAAGGCAATTCTATCTAGATTGAGGCCTCTGAGGTGTCTGCATGTGTGTGTGAATGGATTTGTGTGTGCTGGTGGACTTACTTGACTCTCTGGATCCAGATGCAGTAGTCTGTGATGTACAGATCGTTCAATATGTATGCCGGCTCGTTCTCTCTGAAGACTCTGTGAATATCCAGCAGGCATTTGAGGACGCAGGCTTTCCCTGGGCACGGCAACACAGCCGGGGTAGGCAAATGGAAAAACAGTGTTATTCGTGCTCACTATTAAGGATGACAATGCACTCCAGCTGCTGGCAGATGCAGCATGTGTCTTAAGGCTTGCAGTTATTGTTCCATACATAAAAGCCAAGATACAGGATCAGAGGGAAATCCCAGCGAGCAGCAGAGTAATTTCATCCATATGGGTTTTTTGTTTTTTAGGAAAAAGAAGTGGTTCATCTGAGACAAAGATGACAACTCTATTTCTGGAGTCTGTCAAATTAATAGTGTTTCTGCTCAAACTCTGTCAAACACTGCTTTGCCTTGATTTATCAAAAATAGCTCTGAATGTTTCTGATGATTTTCCACTTGACATAAATCTTAAGCCTGCCTGTTCTGCTACTGCGCTGCATCCTTATCTGTATCCATTTTGCTTCTGATTTGATGTTACATCAATTAATTAGACGTAGCATGTAAAAGCTGAATTTTTTAGAAATCTGCATCTTGTTGATTTTTCCCCCCTTTTTTCCTCCACAGCGCTCGAAAAACTATTTCTTTCCAAGAAATCCTGCCTGGTCCTAAAGGAGGAGGATCACTTTCTCAAAGTCTTTCTTTGGCAGTTAGCAGTACATTTGGTTTAATTTACATTTCTAACCTTAGAAATGCTATAACTTCCAAAACTGACATTTCTCATACTGAAAACTACAACAAGCCCGAGGGCCTGGGGGGAGGCGGGGTTGCAGGAGGAGACACTGGAGTCGCGTCTATGCAGCTCTTCATGCACACAGCAGATGTGGTCGTTCATTTCCTTCTAATCCTGTTTGTTTCTTATTTTTCTCTCCTAATTTCTTTCATAAAAATCTGTCTTTGCAAAACTTTAGAAATGTCACTGAAAAACAGATATGACACTAAAGCTTATGCTTAATTAGATTTTAAAATTAGGCACAAAAATAATTTATTTGCACTAATGACTTGTGGTGCTTTCATTAACACTGAGCGGCAACAACATTAAAGTTGCAGTGATGCCAGTAGATTCCAGATGCAAGTCCGTAATCCCAGCTATGGTGGTCGTTATTGCACAAACAACTCTAAACGCCGTTCATCTGTAATGAGTGTAGGCTGCCAGTGTGCTGTTTATCTCAGCTGGTGTCCACGTCTATTTACTCTGTAAAAGGAGTCCAATATGCATCGATAAATCAGTGAAGCTCGCTCCTGTCTGATGAAAGGTGAGTTGGTGAGAATGAATGAACTGTTGTTTTTGCCCGTGTTAGCCGCTGTAAGCAGAACTGTCTTAAAAGTGGACCTAATATTGTTGGACTCTGATGCTTAGTGCTAATAAGCTCTCATATGTTCTCGTTATTTGAGGGGGGGGAAAAAAAATCTCATCAGCTGCCATAATGTTAGCTTATAACCAGCTGTTATTGTTATTTGGCCACTGTCAACTGTCCGGAGATGGAGGGTCGCACGTCCAGTCTGCTGACAATAACTGTCACAATACTGTTAATAAACAACAATGTTTTTGTATGTTTTTGTACAGTTAGAGCTCTGACTTCAGTTTAGGAGATGAAGCTCGATGTGAGGAAGAGCATGATGTTTTATCCAGATGCCGGTCGTGTTGGCCCTTTTGCCTTTTTGAAGGGGAGCCCTAATCAGATGATATAACAAAAGGCATGTTTTCAGTCTAAAGGTGAAGAGACAAATTAAAACACGTCTCCACAGCATGTGAATGGCTCCTAACTTTCTTCTTTTCCACCTTTGATGTATTACGGATGTGACCGGTCTCTAGCCACATATATAAAAGTCCATCTTGGTCACTGTTCATGAATCCAGGGCAACATGCCGGCTTCACAAACTCTGCATTTTTAATGGTTTAATGTGGTCAGACACCGCAACACACAGTAAAAAAGTTTAATATTGTGGCTGTTCTCTGTGCGTAAATATACTGATTTTTATATTCTTGGTTTATTTTGGGAGGAGACAGAAGAGGAGGTGACTGGATTGAGGTACCCACAAACAATAAGCCAATCAGCAACAAGGAGAAAGATTTAAGTGATTGATTTAATGTTGGAGAGAAGGACTGTGTGTCATTATGACTGCAGAGTTCATCCCAAGAGGCTGCTTTGGAAAAATGTTTGCTCTCATCTATCAAAGCAAGAGCACAGATGATGTATGTTTACAGCCACCAGAAATATCCACCAGGAAGCCACCAGAGCTGTGTAAGCTGCAAAGTCCCAATATGCAGTTGATGTCTAAGAATAGCAGCACCTCATAGCTCTTTATTTGCCTTCATACACTTAACTGTATAACTATTGCCACAACACATTAAACGTGTTATTTAAATTTAATATAAACTTTTTAAGTGTTCATTTGTTAATGTTAAGCCAATAGGATACCATGTGCTTTATTTAATGCAAATGATAAAACATACAGATGGTGACAGAAAATGTCTACTGTCAAACTATCTACTAAAGAATCTGTACGTTCAGTCCTTATTGACATTTTTGACAGTGTGTTTTGAAATTGTTTTAGAAAAACCGTTTCCTCTTTCAACACCCCAACTGCATCACACACAGAACCACAGTGGTTCATCTGGACGTAGAGTTTTCAGTGGGAGAAACGTTTCGTCACTCTAACAAGTGACTTCTTCAGTCTCAGCTGACTGCAGGTTTCCCCAACCTTACAAACAGTCCATTGCATAATGACTGAAACTAGCACCACTGAAGGAACAATGGGATGTGAGGTCAGTTCCTTGATTCCTTCCTTATTTTGCAAATTGCCATGGCCGTTGATTAACAACCACTGATCAAAGACCATGAGTACCATCCACAGTGAGCTGATAGAAAAAGACGTACCTTTAGGCCCCCTCCTCGATTCAGAGACGGTCTTTGCCTTTTCACGTAAATGGCCTCCTTGACTCCCCGCTCAAACCAGCGTTCCTCCCTGTCCAGGATGTGTCCAGACGTTGTTTGGTTTCCCCAATGTATAAGTCATGGCAATCCTCCTGGCACTTAACAGTACCTACATTGCTCTGTTTGTGTCAAGGGATCATTGGCATGGACCATTTTTGGCGGAGTGTGTTTTGGCGTTTGAAAGCCACGCAGTCTTTGGAGAAAATGCGTCTCAACTGTTCTGATACTCCTGACACATAGGGAATCACTAAGGGTTTTCGCTTAGGCAGCAGTTGTCCTTCTCTCCTGGATCCTGACCTCACAGCCCATTGTTTATTCAGTGGGCTGGTTTCAGTCATTGTGCAAAGATACTGTTTATAAGGTTGGGGAAACCTGCAGTCAGCTGAGACTGAAGAAGTTGCACGGACGAGTGACGAAATGTTTCTCCCACTGAAAATGTCCAGATGAACAGAACCAAATTTTTGGATTTAATTACCTGCATGATTGAGCATGCATCAAGACGATACACTGAATACGTGTGTTATTCTGAAAGGAATTTTCTCCTGAAGCACATAGCTAGTGCTGCAGCACTTATCCTTCAATCAGGCATATAAATAGCCATATGATGTGACCAACAATCCGCTGAGGGCAAGAGAAAATGCTCCTCTCCACCTCCAGAGAGCTTGTTGGCGTTGTCCAGAGACATTCCAGACCAATCAAAATAAACAGCGTACTCACAGCGAGGAAAACCTTGAACAAACATTTGGTCCTCATTTAAAGCATGGCATTGTATACAGGGAACTGTGGCCTAAGGAAAAAACATAAAAGAAATTTTTTTTTTTTTTAAAGAAAAAAAAAAATCAAGGCTTGGATTGTGTGAAGCAAAAAAAAAAAAAAAAAAAAAAGGTCTTGCTTCCAAGATTTGATTTTTTTTTTTCCAGAGAGAAGCTTTCTAAGTTGTTTGGAGAAAACTGGAGCAAAGGTTGAGTTTAACATACTGATTGTTGGTGAAGGGTTTAGCACAAGTGAGCGAGGCATTTCAATTAGGTATCATTGGGTTATCCAATGAGTGGGGAGGGGGACGCATTCAAAACGTAGAGCAGTAATTCCTTCATGGCTGCAGACTGGGCAGGCATGCAGTGTGGTGGTGGGTGTGAAGTGGACCAAAAACAAAAGCCTGCTGTGTTTTCTAGACACTGCAGCAGCAAAGTAATCTTTTTTTTTTTTAAACAGTTTTTATGTTTTTTACATAAACACTTAATGATGTATGTGAGAAACACAACCTCAGCCATCTTTGTCACAGCCTTTTCTGATGAGGAATTTAAAGTATTCTTATTTTCAAATATCTTGAAGGACACTGACAGCCCACAGCATTTTTTTTTAATTTATTGCTTAAAACATGTTGAGTAAAACTTCACAAAGACCAGTAAAACCACTGCATGATAACCTAAAAATGGTCCTCGCCACCTTGTCTTCAACTAAAAACAAAGCAGCTTCATATCTAAAGGAAAATGAGTGCAATTTCAGCACCATGTCTCAGTTTTGTTTTGTTTTTTTGCATTATAAAGAAGCACTAATGTCAAAAGTCAGTGGCAAATTGGTGCAGCACCTTAGCTTAACCACCTTACTCTGGTGTCGTATGGCAGCTACAGAGGATGTCATAGCCAGTACGAAAGTTGAAAAACTAGACTGTGTCGAAAGACTCAGACCTGTGGCTTGGAACAAACACTCATTACATTAAACATTTTAACTTTGCAACACAATGGTTCCCAGTGTATTTTCCGCTGGGAAAGTCCAACAAGTATTCCCTCCTTCTCAGCAATTTTCACACTAAAAAGCCATCCAGTGGTCCCTTATGCAGGTGGATATTTTACTGTGCTGTGAAAAAGTAAAATGACTTAACAAGGGAGGTAATTACTTGCTCCCTAAATAGAGCCAGGTAGATTTGGACATAGGTTTCCCTTTATACAGTCAGAGGAAAAAAATCATTTTAACACTTGCTTAAGTTTTTTGGGTTTGAACAGTGAGAGACAGAACAATAACAAAAAAATCCTGAAAAACACATTTCAGAAAGTTATAAATTAAGTCACATTTTCATGAAAGAAATTGCACCAACTGTTGTCACCTTCTCACCCAGCTGCTTGGTGATGGTCTTGTAGCCCATTCCAGCCTTGTGTAGGTCCACAATCTTGTCCCTCATATCCTTGGAAAACTCTTTGGTCTTGGCCATGGTGGAGAAATTAATTGCTCCAATGGGCAGCATTCTTTTATACGCATAACAAGTTGTGAAGGCTCCCAATCGCAGCTCGTTGTCTGTATAAGATAGTAGGACTTCTAGCCCCCAGGTCTGATTGATGAAAATGCGAATTCATTTATAACTTTCTGAAATGCATTTTTCTGGATTTTTTTGTTATTGTTCTGTCTCTCAATGTTCAAATAAACCAACCATTAAAATGATAGAATGACCATTTCTTTGTCAGTGGGCAAACTTACAGAATCAGCAGGGGTTCAAATAATTTTTCCCTGAATCAAGTCAACATTTAAACACTGCATTTGTAATTACTCAGGGAATCTTTGTCAAATATGAAAATTTGTTTAATTATATGAAAAATGCAAGTGTGACAAGATAAATAAATAAATAATAATAATAATGATGAGGAAGGGGGTAAATACTTTCTCTGTTTGACAGACCTGCCATCATGAGTAACTTGGGGAAAAGGAAATCTACTAAAGGTTCTTTAGCTCATATCAATAACATTTAAATTATATCTTTTTTGCTTTTAACTTTTCAGAGTAAGAGCAGAGGCAACAGGAAAAGCAGCAAAAGCAGCCGGAAGCATTCTGCCTTTGTCAGATTTACCACTAATGATGATATGCTTGAAAGGCTTCATCCTGTGGCAGGTCTAATGTGCTGGGACAATTCATCCCTGATGGCACTTTTCCTCCCACCCCCACAGACACATGTGGATATCCACTTCTTGTGGCTACATCCACACTACGCTCCGTGTCCACACTGGCGTTTTCAGTCGGTTTTACAGAGTTGTGCGTCCACATTGAAACATCCGTGCGCAAAAGCGAGTGAGAATTAAAGAATTTGAAATAAAGCTATCTGGAGCATGTACAAACTGATATTCATCAAAATTGAGAGCAATCAAAACAACTGCTGTATAATGCACTCCGCTATCTTTGTTTATTTGGTCACATGACTGCATCACATGACTAAAATGCGTCATCGTTTTAGCAAGTCTGCGTTTTCGAGTGTCCGCACTGCAATGGAACAGCTCCGTTTTGAAATGTATTCGTTTTTGAGAGCGTTTTCAAAACGCTGCGTGTTTCCTTGGGGAAAACGCCGTCTCAGTGTGGACGGGAGGCCAAAACGGAGAGAAAACAATGCGTTGGTGTGGACATAGCCTGACTCTCATCCAATAAAATATCACCCTGGCCTGAATGTAAAATTTCATTACTCAGACCAGAGCGCCTTACTCGACCTAAAACTTGACTTCCACAAATGTAAAACTTTCCCAAGAAATTCCAAAGAAACGTTGGCTGTAAAGGTGCTGTTGTGAATGAACAACACAGGAACATGGCGGACCTTTATCGAAGGACACATCTGACATTTCCTGTACCGCCCTTTCTGTTTGATCACGACAGCAGCACGACAGTGGTGCCCACCTCGACACTTCCTAACTCCGACTGGCTTTCTGCTCTTCTATACCTGCCCGGTGGCTCTTTAGTTGCAGCCTCTTAGGAAGCAGGTGGAGGAGCTCCTTGAGAATGCTCACCAAACTGCCAGAAGGTTGTTTAAATATTTACCCCTGGATAACACTTCCTCTGAGGCCTTAATCTGCTCGCTGCCATTAATGGGTTTGTTTTGCTAATATGAATGTTTGCTTGTACAGACAGTTAAATGAAGTACCTCGAAAATGGAACGTGCATTTCCATTCGCCTTATCCTGACAAATTAATTAGTGTCTAAAGTAATGCTGGGAGGAAAGGCAGCCTCACACATGCAACAGAACGAATTACTGTAGTGTTACAGTTGATTAAGGAGAAGCCCTTTTACTTATTCTTCATAATTCTTGTAAATAATGAAGGTTATGAGCCGGGAGGGAACATTATTGCATATTAAAAAATTAAGTCCCATCCCTCCCCCCTCTAAATTTAAACAAATAAACAGATGCTTTGGCTTCTTATTATGCACAGAGTGGAGTTGGAATAAGATGTTCTTTGAGGTGTAAGGAGATGGAACAATTTCCAGGTTTGGGCTCAACAAGAGAAATCTCTGCTCTGAGGTAAAAGACAGAAAGGAAAGAGCGAGTCTAACTGCTGTTTCCCTGGCTCTCCTGATCAACTCATCTTCCTACTTAATGAGGCGAGGAAATGCTAATCTGGGGCTTAAAAGGCCTTTAATTTTCTGTCGTTTGCTAGTGTTAAAATCATCACAAGCTGGATAATCTTAGCCCTCACACATCCTGAGTATGTTTACACTGCTGACTCTCAGCTGTCTGCGGGGGCTTTTGATTTAAAGATTACGTGCAGCTTTGAGATATCAAAGTCAACAGTCCGTTTTCCTCTAATCCACATTTCGCTCCCTGAGGGGGTGGGAGCCCGGCCACTCTCGCTCTCTCGCGTAGCTGGAGGAATATCATTTTCAAACAGTGGCAGGCTGCTTCTGCTAAACAATACTCCATGCAAAGCACGCTGGCTATCAGGCTGCCTTTTCAGCAGCACGCACTCTCGATCGAGCAGCATCCTACAGGCTACGGACGCGCAGCAGACTCTGACTGCACACGCTAAAACCCATTTACATATGAAAGCGCTGCTCTGCAGAAACCACAGGGTGGGCAGAATCAATTAACACTAATTAGCCAAGATCCCGTGTTCACAGTGGAAAGAAATTAGAGTTGATTTAGCTTCTAGTTTTAACTCAAAACCACAAAACCCACAAAGAACACTGCAGATCATGTGGCAGATGTCAAAGGGTCACTACCAGTCTGCAGAGGTAATAATGGTCTTTATGAGCTTTTGTGCATATGTGTGCGTGTTGCCGGTGTAGGTCTGGTAAGCGTGTCTCACCTGAATGCAGAATTTTAGCCGTGTCATGAATCGCAAGAGAGACCAACGAAAAGTGTCTGTAGAGCGGGTAGCACAAAACCCTCCGTCCAAATGACACCAGGACCTCTTGCAGGGAGCTGTATGT